GATAGAAAGTGTTTCAATATATAATACATGACTATTCAACGAGTTTCATTAATAAATAGCTATCCACATTAACATCAAAACATGATTTTTGTTCCAGAAAAAGGTACTTTACATCAACCATATAGAGACCAATATGACTGTCTAAGGTCAATATTATCACACCATCATATTGAAAATCTTTATAAATCAATATAGAAAGTGGAAGATTACCATAGTTAAACTAATCTTTATTTTAAAGAAATCTCTTTAATTACGATTTTCTCTATCTATTAAAATGACAGTAAGGCGTTATAATCTGAGCTTATTGTTGCTTTCAGATTGGTAAATAGAATCATAGCTTTGTTTAAAAAAAGCTCATGAAAGATCAGAACGTGAAGAAAACACAGAAAAGTCCTAATAAACCGGCAAAGTAACATTTCAGGGATACCGATTTGCATACCATTTATGAGTTTACAATAGAGCAGTTGATTAAAATGAGTTTATAACTTTGACGGATACCCAGAAAGAAAATAAATACCGCCATCGATAAATAATTAATTACCAGGACAAAGACAGGTATTATCAAAATAGTGAATAAATGAATTTTAACGAGGTCACTTGTCTAAGTGACTCAATATTGCATGTACATTATTGAGATGTCATGTTGTTGAAGGTAGTCGCAGAAGATCGTAGGAGAAGGTTTTGTGGTAGTTGGCATTCATTAGCATGGAGCACTTACAATCCTGAAGGGGCTGATGACTTCTATGGGTTTCAAACCACACTATGTCAAGTCACCTTGAATAGTGACTGGAATTTAGTTAGCATTAAAGAACTAGACGAACATGACATTTATCACCACTGAGTGATACAACTGGTGATGTTGTAATTTAAACGATTTACTCTTTTTCATTTCCTTGTGTTTATAGTTAAACTTAAATGACTTTAAGCGAAGTGACTGAGATTAAATTGAGATTTGGTTAATACTAGGACCTCATAATTCAGTCTATAGACCACCAGGATGACTAATTTGAAGTTCACTGGTTTGTACCCTACTTCAGTATAAGTTTTCTCTTAACTTGAATCATTTCTTTAACTGGTCCCATATTGGTAACCATTACCATGTTGTTTAATCCTTAGTGTTATTCAAGTTGTATCAACCAAGTTTGGGCGTATATCTTACCGATGTAAAACCACTAGCATGAGACTTAGAACAGGAGTTTTCTGCCAACTCACGTCAAGTAATTAACTCTAATAATCACCACTCATTAAAAAAACTGAGCTATCTGAAGATATGGATTAATTAATAACTTATTAATAATTATTAACCAGATTGAAGATTACAATTATTATCGATCAAATTCAATCTAACATCTAACAATAAATACACTTGTACACATAAATGCGAATGATATTTGATCAAAAACAGAAATAAATCGAGTTCTCAGATCATTAGTCTCTATAATGAACTCTTCACAGTACCTGATTTTTTTAGTAAAACAGTAATTTTCCATAAGAAATTTCATGCTTTGTTGATGCCAAAAGATAAATTAATTGACAGAATATGGAACTGTAGATTATTGTAGCTTTAAAAATTGCCCAGTTAGATGATCATACCTAGTTTATGACGAGTGATAATAATCAGAAAATAACAAATCATCTGGATCATGTAGTTCATTGATTCAATTAGTTAAAATAGTAATCAGACCACCTACTGATTTTCAATCTTTTTATCCTTCTATCTTGAATAGTAATGAAAGGATTTTTATTTATTGCAGTGATATACATTTTCTGTGGCTTTTTTTAGTTCTTGTATAATGAACGCACAGAAAATAAGCCAAAATGTTAGAACTGATATTCACTGAATACATAACTGAAGTATGAAACACCATAATTTCAACAATGAATTGAATGGAATGATGATACATTATCTATACAGATATTTCTTGATCTGAAATCAATATCTCGGTTTATTCTGTTGCTATACCTCATAATGATTGTTTTTACTGAACGAAATACTGTATAGTCGTGGTACATTTCTGTAAGTGCTGTAATGAAATGATGATTTTCTCCTCAAAATGTTTTGTGAACTATTACATGATTTAACCCACTGAAAATGATAACCTTCTCAATCTTTGAGGAAATTCATTAGAGATTTAAATAAAAATCTCATTTTCAATAATTTAACGATCAATCTTTTATCGAAAAAGTAACTCACCATTTGAATTAGACTATATAAATGACATATTCCTTAGCGAGATGTGATATTTTTGAATACACTGAAGAGAATATCAAAAGTATTCGACAAGAATGGCAATATAATGATATATTTGCGATACCCCGACGAGTGGAAATTTCAGTTTTTGACATTTTGTAAATCAGTTTAAGTTAATTCTTCCGAGATTAAATTTATCCAAAGAAACACGCTTAATTCTATTCATTTCTCACACTATTACTACGCACAAACTAACGTTTAACCTCTACTTCATATGGAAAATTTCACATTTTTCTTACTCACTTTTGAGGATACTAGATCCTCGGAAATTACTTAGTAAACTCCTCATTTTTGTAATCGTATTATGGAAATTTGAACACCTCGTTTTCGCGCCAAAAGCCCCATTTTTATACCCCAGTTTGTGCTTCCAAACTAAAAGGACCTTATGTATCATTGGTTTGTTTCCTCCTTTAGTACGTTATTTTGTGAAGTTTTTTAACGGACACTTTTATGCAGTATATATACACATGAGTTTTGCGCTTGTTCGTTCATTCTTGCAGAGTGATTGTGGAATATATATATATATATATATATATATATATATATATATATATATATATATATATATATATATATATATATATATATATATTCCGGTTGCATCTGGATTTCTCCCTTTAGTTAGTAGAGCTGGGGCGCATTGCAATAGCTTACCTTGTCTTGTTGTTGTGTTACTGACTTTTGTTCCATCTGTCGGTCCTAGGTGATATCTTAATACCTCGAACATCGCACCCACCTTCATACACACAAATACACACAGTAATGCACAGTCTCCTTGACCAAATAATTGACATGAGATTGATATGAGCAAACTTATTTTGGTTTGAACTGAACTAAATAATATGCTTTGTTTCTCTTTACTTCTTACAATTTACTTTAATTAGGTTATTTATTTACTTAATCTCTGAAGAATTAACACAAAGTAATTTAAAAGATACCAGAAATTGCAATTTCTGCTCATTGGGACATCATAAACGTATAATTGTCCTATTATTAACATTTATTTATTTATTTATTTATTTATTTATTTATTTATTTATTATCATCAGCTTTATTCAATATTATATTTTTGGTACAATATAGAATTCTCAGCGCAACGTATTTCAACAAGTTTCCGTTTCTTTCTTCTTGGTCGGTCCTGGCGATAAATATTGAGTGATCGCCAGTTAGATGTTAGTAGTTCAGTAAATGAACATCTGAATAATGTGCATTCTTTTCGCTGTATATTGCCAGCAACCACATTGTCTCTTATTGAGTTTTTTGTAACTTTGACAACGAAATGTTGTACACTTTTCAGAAACGCAGCAGAATAGGGCATGCGATGAATAGACAAAATGATATATTAAAACAAAGAAAAATAGATAACTTGTTGAAATATCTAGATGGGAGGAACAGGTAGCCCAGATGCTCAAGCAGGCCGCCCTTTATTCTATGCAATTCTCAATTTATTTGAAGTTATCAATCCAAAACTTGATATTGATATACTTGACAAGACTTCACTCATCTGAAGTGACAGCTACATCACAATAAGGAGTAAAGAAGTTACATGTGTATTGTTTCACCCATCATCTGGGAATCTCAGTCAGTTTGATTGTTATCAGATTACTGTACCTATGAAGGTCACGAATTATCTAGTGTGTCACATAATAATACATTTAATTTTAATCCATGTTTTAAATATATCTAGTGTGCAACGAATCTTGTTAATGAATATTGTAGAAATTAAAACGAACTTATTAAATCAATGTGGTGGATAATATTGGTTGGATCCCTTTTCAATTTCTAGTATTTCCCTTTAACTTTAGGTTTTCTTTAATTTCAAACGTTGTTTGTATATACATGAATCAGTTTACTCAATCAAAATTTATCATATTGTCCAACTATAAAAAACAGTTATAAAACCTAAAACAAATTTAATTTATGTTCAATCTAGTGAACTTTTTACAGAAAGCTAACAGAAACAAACAGAATGAATTTCATCGACTTCCATTACAAGAAATATAAGACAATTTATTATTAATCCATGCCATTGATTCGTCACTTTCATTGAAAATTATCTGGTTCGGGGAAATATAAATTCCCTCTTATTAATACTATGAGTTTAAAAGATAGCGACTTATTATATACAGTTTGTGTACCTTATCTAAGGAGATTATAATTTATGAATGAACTAATCAGATATGAGATAATAGGTCTCGGATTTTGACGCAAAATTCATTCATCCATCTAACCAAATAGCGTTTTGACATGATAGCTATTATCAGTTCATGATGAAAGCCATAAATATAATTCGTAACTGTAACAATCAACTGTAAATCTTAATTGTAATTCCTCACATTGATTTATAACTCTCATTTTGTTCTAGTTATTAGGTGAACATTCTCAAAGTTACTTTGGTATCTCACAAAGGTTGTCTATATATTTATTATAGTCTCATTATTTAAATCAATCACAGACATATTTTTATAAATCTTATATGATTAATTGAAAATACCCTTTTTACATAATTAAACATTCAAATATGCAATTTTAACACTGATAATATGTAAATTAAATAAATGAGAAATTTCAATGTCATTAGTTCTTCTTTTTTTATGTTGATTAACAATTCAGTGCGATAATAATAAAATACACACTCAAAATAAAAAAACCATCCGTAAACATGTAAAAAAACACATTTTTTTTGTAAAAAAAGATCAAATCATAAAGAGTAATGAAGTCAACTTTAATATAAATAAGATCAAAAGACTAATAATAATAATAATAATAATAATAATAATAATAATAATAATAATAATCTATAGTATTATGTCAGCAGAACATCTAAACTTTCAAATGACGATCGATCATGAAATAGACAAATGGAGAGAAGGAGCGAGAGGGAGAGAGTGAGGGAATGAAGGATGTAAATAACATTTTATTTTTATATTTTCATTTCAATAGTACAAATTACCGAATCTTTGTTGTTATTGTTGTTGTGATCATTATTATTGTTGTTGTTTTTAAAAAATAGTTATAACTGCCGTTTAGCTTTTTTTCTTCAAAAATGTACATTTTTTAAAAGAGAAAAATAATGAAAGATGAATGCGAGAGGGGAGTGCAAAAATACTATTGGATCTGATTTGTTTTTTTTTATTTTCTGTTTTTTTTTATTTCTTGATTCATTCTGTGTTTAGTTTTTCTCACTTAGTAATAAATTCAAAATATGACAGAAAAAAATAGTAGAGAAATATTAGATGATAAAATGATTAAACGACTAGAAATCACGATCTATTTTTTCACGTATAATTAATTCCCATTCTTGCCATGCATTTTTTAATTCTTTACTTAAACTATCAAATCGTTCATCCCAATTTACTGTACAACCTAATTCTACTGCAATATCATATAAAGCACGTTCAGCAAAATAAGCTAATGGTCTATTATTCATAGCATTCTCTTGTATTTGTCTAACTAATGCTGAATATGATCTTGAACAACGTTCAGCATCTAATATACGAAAATCACCTTGACTATGATGTGATTGATGTGGATGATAATTATTATGTGATAAACGATTATGTGATTGTAATTTAGATGATGATCCATCTGATGATGATATTCTACTTTGATTATCATCTAAATTAATATTACTTAAACTATTACTTAAATGATAATTATAAATTGATTGATTCATATCATTAATATGATTATTATTTTGTTCATCTAATGCTGATCTTATTAATTTACAAGCATTTAATGATTGAACTAAATCGAATAAATTTTCAATTGAATTTTTAAATACATAAAATTCATTCCATATAAAATAATCAATATCAGATGAATTTAAATTAAATTGATTTTTCCATTCACATATATCATTTAACCAACATAACATATAATTCATTAAATTTGTTGACCAATTTTGTCCATTTAATTGATCTAATTGTAATTCAAATAAACGTATTTGAAAATCCATCGATTGACATTTCACTATATCTTCATCAGTATAATTTAATTGAGTTAAGATTATTTTATGCGCTTTCCATAATAATAAATCACATAAATAAGCTAAATGTAATTTTTTCTCTAATAAACAAGATAGTTGTACTAATTTTCTTTCATTATTATTATTATTATTATTATTGTTTAATTGTTTTGATGATTGACATAATACTTTTAAATTATTTGGTGTAATTGTCGAAGCATTTAAATCACCATTTAATAAATTTTGATGTATTGCTTGTAATTTAGTCCATGCAATTTCACCTTGTGGTGTTTCATTAATTGAATAATATAATTTTAATTGTTGATCACGATGTGAATATAATAATTCTGTTGTTTCTCTTAATTGTTGATGTACATTTAACCATGTAGATCGTGTGACAGACATTTTACCAATTGAATTAATTAATTCTGTAGCCCATTTATATGTTGAACTACCACGTTCAATATATTCTGAAATTAACCATGATAATTGTCCAGTTAAACTTAATAAATTAAATGGTAATGTTGGTGTATATTTTGTATCAGTATTATGTAATCCATTTGTTGATAGCATAGATGATGATGATATTTTATGACTTTGTTGACAAAGACCACTTGCTACTGTAGCATGTGAACGTAATAAATCATTACGATTATGTCCAAGTGGATTCAAAGGCGGTGGGACATTATATGATGCTTTTTTACTTCCCATATTTGATGATTTTTTACGATTGATTAAACGTAAATTTTGTTTTAATCGTGTACCTTCTGTTTTACGTATTTGTTTAGATAAATTTAAAACAAATTCAGGCGTTGGACCATCATTATCACTATCACTTGTGGAATAATCAGTACTTAATTGATTACTACTCATTTCCCAACGAATTTGTGCCTCTTCATTTTTTTTACTATTTTCACATTTATCTTCAATATTACCTTCTCGTACATTACCATTACCATCAATATCGTTTTCTACATCATCACCATCATCATCTTCATCGTCATTATCATCATCGTCATCATCTTCAGGATAATGAATACTGAATTTAACACCACTTTCATTTTTACCAACTTTTTTCTTCTTTGAACGTAATAAAATCAGAGGATCTTTTAAAAATGTCAACATTGTATCATCTGCTTCATTAATTAATAAATTTTGTTTGCGTCGCATACGTTTTAAACTATTCACTAGAAAATTAATAGCACTTTTATCTGAGGCTAAAATAGCTGTAGTGCATAAATTGATCAATGTTGTTACACGTGCATTAGTTGTATCAATACGACGCAGTAAACGATCAAAATTTATTGCATTTTTACTTAATGTACATGGTTCACATATTGTTTGTACATAACATTCAATCTCATTATCTCTGCCCTCTAAACTTAAACCCATTTCTTCTGGAGAGTTCATTAATTTATGTGCAAATTCTAGTTCACTTTCTATTTGTTGATTATTTAAATCAATTTGTATATCGGAATGAGATTTATTTAACATTTCATTTACATGTGATTTTGATGATTCTTCAACTGTTCAAAAAAAGAAAGATAGCGAAGAATAAACATAGATCATCCCCTATCATAATATAAATATATATATTTATACATATACTTGCGCCTGTTACCACTCGAGAAGGAGCATAGGCCACCCACCATGATACTCAAACCAACATTGTTCTGAGCAATCCTTTTCATGTCTGCTTTCAATTCTCAACACAATGTGTTCTTTGGTTTTTCTCTTTTCCGTCCATCTTCAGAATTCTAAGTTATCCCTTATTTCGTGGTGCTGTTTGATTTCCTCAAAATGTGTTCTATCCACTTCCAAGGTCTTTCACTAATTTCCTCCTCAGCTGGAAGCTGGCTTGTACTCTCCCATACCAGGATGTTGCTGATGATATCCGGCCAACGAAATATATGTATATATCACTTATTGATACACTAAATACTCTTTTCTATATCTAAGAAATTCAAACTCATCTTAGTTAGTTACGCCACATACAGTGTATTATGATAGTTCCGATAAATTTTGATGAGTATATCGCAATGAACTCCTATATTTTTTAATAGCAATGCATTTTATGTCCCCATGATATACTTTAAAAATGATCTCATTTATTGAACTATTCTATATTGAAGCTGTACATTCTAAGTAAATGCATACCTGAAAAAAATATAACCAATATATGAATTACTCAAGTGTGATCAATATCACATTGTTTATTTTTGATTATCAACCTTTAGTAAATGACCTTTTTAATTTAAGAATAAAGTATACATTCAGTCATAGATGCAAAGGTTCACCAATTTTAACTTATAAAATTGTCTAATTCACTAATACATACCTTATTTTGACTTGAGTGAAATAACTATACAGCTTGATGACAAAGTGATTGATAACAATTGTTTGCTCAAATGTTCTTTTGTTTTTAAAATATTCTATAGGGATTATTAAACCGTAAAAATCTGTTTATCATGCACTGTAATTGTCACTATAGTTTTTACATAATCTGACGTCACAGATCAATTTGATTTTTGTTTAAAAGTACTAAATACCTGTATGACAGTGGTTACTGATTGATTCGTCGAATAATCTAGCCCTATGGAACATCATTCAACATGTGAATACCAGAGTAGTAATATCTGTAACCGTGGGGTCGATCAACTTAAGTTTGACTATCCAAAAATAGAACAGTTCCTTTCAGGTCTCAAAAAGCTGGGGTCGTAAGTCGAGAATTTTCTGATCTATCCCTACTACTTATTTAATAAAACGTTCAGTGATCGTACCAAAATGTACATGACATTTTAATAGACCGAATATTTTTTTCAGGAATGTAGAGACCCATCATTTATTAGTATAATAAAATGCAGTATTATTTTTATAAGCAGGTACTCATTAAATACACCTTGGTAAAAATAATCAAATAACACAGATAAGGATGATGATGATAATAATGATTAACCATTGTATACGTATACATATGAGATAATCGCTTACATTTACCAATCAGCTTCCGAAAAGAGAACTTTTTCTTCTCTTTCATTTTCTAAATAAATAATAACAAAATACAGAAAATAATTGGTTAAGCGCAAAAATGAAGGCAAGGTAACGACTGTTTACTAAGACTAAAATAATTATACATAGTTTATTTTCACTCAAAATATTATGTAAATATAAAATATTGTAACCGTTTAGTATTTATGGTTTGATCAAACAATCAATCTTAAGCAACATAAATCCCTGTAGTTATGTTCGCTGATTCAAGTTACCACACTACATCAGCACAGTGATATGCCTGAGTAGTATAAGTAGCAACAGCGCCAGTGTTAGTAGAAAAAATCAAGCATAAAAGACGTGATTCGAGAAAAACATATGAAGTTATGAAATCGTTTAATTTCAAATATAAAATTACGTTTGATGTTAGGGAAATTTTCAAATGCTTATTAGTAATCTATGTGATAATGAATATGAATAGCACAATAAATTACATGTATTTCATGAATCTGTCTTTGAATGAGGAAACATCTAGCTTGGTAAGCGTACAAGAAACAGAAACTGATAGCTTAATAATAACTGTCATCAAATCTTTTATGTAAATCACAATATAAATACCAATTAAAATAAATTAGCTTGATGGACAGAAAGCACTTCTCATATTGCAAATTATCGATGATAGGAACAGAAAACTTAATCAGTGTATAAACACAAACCCATGAATACACTGAATCATATATGTCGTGCGGCGAAGATGGCATTATTTAGACACTGAGTTAGAATCGACTCATTGATTTGCAACATGACACGACCACCATACAATGATATCAATGAGTAACAGCCTCGTTCCTGATATAATTGGCTTCACAGATCATAGTTTCCCATCAACGATTTTGGGAAATAATTTTAGAGCTCTAGTTATTGATGTGTAAGTGATAATTATATCATTATGAGAACTATTTATGAAGTGAAAAATTATCCGAAAATCACTGAATCGGATGGCCCCGATTTCTTTAGATGGTGCTTTTAAATAAAAAAACGTGCGGAATCTTTGAACTAGCATTAATTTTCTCTGGACTGATCAATACTTAGCTCTCGATAAAAACGCTTTACAGCAACAACTTTCAACTATTCAAATTAAAAACAAAACTCTTAGATAAATTGGTTCTTATTGCCCATGTCATAAGCTTCATAGACAAAGTTAACTATGAATTGAATAGAATGCAATGCAACTTTGAGAAACATATAGACACTGTTTCAATCCCTCTTGAGGTCTTGGATGAGCTTTGCTAAAGAGTCCCCTTCTAGGATGAAACAGCTCCCCAGTGCTATTTGATTTTAATAGTACATACACCCACTTGAGATTAGTTTGTGATAAATACAACTTAAAAAGTCATTTTGACCTCAAGAAACGCAATATTTTATAGTTTACTGTGTTTCAAGTAATCAACTTACAAATTTCAGAGTATAGATTCAAACGTAATCCCACCTACTTTGGATTTGAGCAGCCTAATGGTGAGTAGTATTTCTGAACTTTACAATTATTTATGTGGTGGAAAATACAATAAGTGAGAATATACTTGACAGTCGAGTTGCACAATCTTCTTGACATCCGAATTTATTTAAGCATGATGTAAAAAAACATTAGCTAAATTCAATACACTACGTAGACCTTTTGCCCGTCTTATGTGCTCAATTTGAAACGATATTGTTCATCTAGACCAGTTATAATAGCATACAATCCTAAGCACAGTAAGAAGTGAAAGGTTCTCTGAACATTCTAATATTCTTCCAAGCATTTATGGTTCAATCCTATTTGTTTTGATTTTGTATTCGTGTACTCTTCCACTTAATACATGATTCTTTTCTTTTAGCACCAGATAAGCAGACAAATGGAAATAACCTTTCTTTCAAAATTACAATTCCATCCACCAGTCACGATTTCATTATTTAACAAGTCTTTTTGACAAGATCGAGCAAAGTTATACAACTCACTAAGTTTGTAAGATAATTAAAACAGAAGTGATGGTATGACAGTAATTTAAATCAGAGAAATGAATTATCGATCGAGACAAATACTACGTTAACTCTATCTAGTTCATTTTGATTACTTACCAACAGAAACAGATTGTGAGTACTATTTACTTTACATTATAGGTTTTGATAGGGTTTCTTTTTTATTTTCTAAATCTATTTAGGTCGTTGTTATATCATTGGACATTAATTGGAAGTGAGTTGTATTGATTTTTCAAATATCGAATTTGTTTATTTTCTTGCTTTGGATAGTTTCTACTTTGTTAAATTATTCAAGTGCAATAACAAATGAATAAACTATAATTTGGACATGATCATTCTATTATTTTCGAGTATCCTAGCTACATACTGGCTAACTAGAACATTTTATTTTCAAATTTCAGTGCATTCATGTTTACAATTGCAATAGTTATTTAGATATGAGTACATTGAATTCAATAATGTTTGTTGTGTTTATTTTGAAAAAAATACTTCCGAAAATATAATAGAAAGTTGCAATATTTAGAGTACAATACGTTTATATCCAAAAAAATGTTTCCTTTAGAATCCTGGATGGATTTCTCAAAAGTCCAATTCATCAGATGTACTGTCAATAGTTAGCTAGTCACCCAGACATAAGTTTATTAATATAAAAACTCATTTACTCAAAATGATTTTAATTTTTGTTTCATGGTTTTGATACAGTAAATAAATATGTGAACTGACGTGACCAGTATCTGTTTGACTCTTAAACTTTAATTCTTGTATATAGAAAATGAATAATCATATCCCGTATCAATGAGAAAAAAATTATCATACAATTCACTTTATATCCAATTGTATTAACCTGTTTTAGTTCACTCATCAAAGTGTATTACAAAAATAATACAGTAGATTTTCTGTTCTAGAAATTTTCGACTAGATTGCAATGAATCGGTTATAATTAAATTCCGTGAATACTGTAGAATGTTCATAATTTACATCATGAACTGACCTTCGCCAGACAACTATTGAAAATATAGAAACACTGGATGGCCATTTAGTTCTAGTATGGAACTCGTCCTGGGGGATCAATTTGTGATTTAAATTACGAAAACCATATTCAATTTATTAATATAGTATCAGTGAATTTTATGTCGGAAAAAAACTTACAATTTATCAGTATTGTTCAAAAATTTCAATATTACAATAACTAGGAAATGTTTGTCAGTCCAGTTTTACTCAAGATAAATATAGCTGAGTCAATATTTATTATCCTTTTGATCAACCAATAAATCACAATCAAAACAAAATTTGTTTGCATCTAGTGTGCATAATTGTGAACATTGGATTTATATACACTCCTATTATTCTGATTTATTTCAATCAATGTTGTCGTCTGTGGTGAGACTATAATTTATGATTCTTTAAGGTCATTTGATGATATAAATTACAAAGGTATTTCACTGAAGATTCAAAATGTATACTACTTATTACAGTTTGCGCCAAAGAATAAACAACCCGTCAATAGTTAGAAACCAGAATCAGCAATGGACAGCGATTTGGTATTGATACAGAACTGTATAGCAGTGCTGAATCATGAATCCATCAGGGGACGAATCAAAGACTCTCAGGTCTCGTAGCCAGTCATAAACCACTAACCCTCTGGGTTAATATTCTACAATATGAATTTTTAACTTCACTCAGTAATTTAGCATGATGGTTGTTGAATGTCATTTGAAACAACTCTTTCACTACTCATATATCTGAATCGTACTTATTCGGACTTCCTATCAGAACCCTAGAAACTTAATCAATAATTTGTCAATACTAAGCTGGAATATATAATTAAAACCAATACTCCCACTGTTTAAGAGTCTTAATAATAACACTTTTTTCTAAGATACTGAAAAACGTAGACATGAATCTCCCTGAAAAATGTGTAGAAACAAGTTTCTATAATCTACTTTTAACTGAACCATATGAATATATGTTGACAGACAAAAGAAAACCTTAATCTAATAGAAATTCTTCATAATGACTTAAATATGCGACAGAGAAAACATTATGATCTATGTTGAAATTGTTGATTTTCATTAAGGTTTAAGTAATATAACAAGAAATATTTAAATAATATGTCTCAAATAGTTTATCATCTAAAATTGGATTGTCAAAATTAAACAGCTGTAAAGCCACTTTACATGTGTCATACTGAACTAATTATTACCGATGCATCGAGATTTGATTAGTTTAAAAAATAATTTATTCCTGTTCTCTCTGTCATAATAAAAAAACGAACTAATCCTATAGGTATCATTACCAAGGTTTGACTTGATAATTTCGAATAAATTGAGCATTGGGTAGATTGTTATAAATAAACTTATTATATTTGTAATATCCCAATGAGTAGAAAAATTAAGTTTTCTGACGTTTCGTGACTTAGTATAAGCCATTTCTTCAGAGAATAACCAAATTAAAATTAATCCAAAGTTGGTTTATTTAGCTATTTATTCTCTAAAGAAATGGTTTATATTAAGTCATGAAACGTCAAAAAAATCTAGTTTTTCTACTCATTGGGATAATACAAAATATATTATTTATTTAAAACTAATCTTATTAAAATTTAGCCCCTTTACATGTTGAAACCTTTAGACTAACCTCTAAATAGAATTTTCTTAAATCGTTTAAATCCATTTCCACATTAAATTAAAGTTAATTAAATGAATGATAATAATAATAATAATAATAATAACTCGATATTACTTAGAACATTGTAGAAAAGAAAAAAAAATAATGAAATGAGGGAAATTTTTCTCAATGGTCATTTTCATTGGTTATACACAAATCAAAATAGAAATAGATATTTCTGTTTTTCAACCAATCAATCAATTTCAACGCCCAGATCGTATATACACTTCCCCTATAGGATTCGAATACAAATAATAATTTCTTTTTTTCATAACAAAAAAGAAATCTGATTTGTTTTATTTTATCAACTTTTGTTTTATAAATAAGTTCTCTCTTTTTAAAAAAAAACATTTAAGGCATTTGTTTACTTAA